CCGGGTACCTTCGACAATAACAGCCTTATTTCATATATGAAATATGTATATACCAGACTGCATTTGAAAATTTGTACGCCACATTGACTATATTTGTTTTGCTTGTACTTAAACCCTTTTCTATGTGGATCTTCCTTGTAGTCGATAATTTCACGAAGTTCACGAATGATTGAAGCCTTCGGAATCTCGCATATGCGCACCGCAGTCTACGCGCCACAGAGTAATGCGGCAGAGCAAGCTAACCGCACAGTGTTGTTGACAATCAGGGTATATCTGGACAATAGCTATAAAATAAAAGATATTTGACATGTATTGACTGTTTAAGAAGCTACATGTCAAAGTTTGTGACTCTAGCTCTTATAACTTACAAGATTTTCTCAAAAAAAACAATATTTTAATATCGATTGCTTGAAAACGGGACAAGTAAGAAACACAAAAGTTATTCAAGAAAACGTGTTCCTGTCAATATAACAAGAATTTCAGTAGAGAGTGGTTGCAAGTAGTGCGGTCTGTTAGGAGTTTGTGTCCTATTGAGGGATCTATATTTTTTTTTGTTAATTTATTTCTATTACTGCTAGAGCAAACGAGCTCGTACCGCATTTGGTGTTGGTAGAAGAAGGGTCGGGAACTCCCGACTACTTGTTTTACAACTTACTTGTTTTACATTTTCTTTTATTACTATGTACTTAAGCAGACCAGCTCATAGCGAGCAGCATTTGATGTTGGTAGAAGATGGCTTAGGGTATCCCCTAGTCGGGAACTGCCGACTAGGTCCTCTTACTTGTTTTACATTACTTTTCTAACCAAATTGGAGTGGTCGAATTCAGCATTCTTATGCGAGTGAGCCCCATGACTGCTTGCGACCGTTTTGTTATGCCCAGAGAGAGTAAGACTGCTGAGAGTGGCAGCCGAATGCCGAGCCTCGAGATCTGGACGATCAGTACCACGCCGTATCTCGCTCAGTGCACAACGTCGCTGCTGCTGATGTTATTTTGTTTAGAGTTCCTGACAGCCCAGATACATATGTGTGTATACATGTGCAGTGTGTCTCGCTCTCACTCATTGCTTTGTGCACTTTTGTGCATCTCATTCTCACTGTATAGCTTCACAAAAAACCCCGATATCTACAAACATACATATGTATGTATTGCATTAATGTGCGCACAGAACATAGAACAGTGCGCTTGTCGCGAACCAGAGATATTTTTTTTCTATGGTTTAACACTGCCTTCGGTTTTTTGGTAGACCTTTTTGTGCCTGTGGCGGCAGCTAAAGGCACACACATTTATTCAAATGCTATATTATGATTTTCTTCGTCTAGTCAGGCACAATGAAATCTGATTTATAATTATTTAGTTAAAATATGACATACATAAATTCAATTTTATATTGTGCTTAAAATAAAAAATTTCTTAGTCGTAGCAAGGTTAATTATCCGTTATTATTTGACTTGTTATTCGAATTTTATCAATATTCTCACGATTGTAAATATGGTGTATAAGTGGGACAATCCTTTTTAATAATTGAATTATCAATCGTTGCCTTTTCCAAGACACATTAGATAACTCATTTCAATTAAAAACCTAAATTGTGTAGAAATTGCTGATTACAAATAGCTACCTCTTTTTTTTATGTGTCCTATTTTGGTATTTAGGTTTTGTTCGCCAGATGGCTTTTGAAACGGTCCAATCTATGGTGAAAGAGCGAGTGATAAAGTGTTATGGATTTGAGTTTTATTATTTCAATGATTGAAAATGCACTCTAATCGTTATCCTCTTACCACAAAATTTATTAAGTCACCGTTTTGGTCGCCAACTCTTAATGTAAATGCATTTATTTATTAGAATGTGTTTATGGCTAGTATATGTATATATGACTAGCGGGTATAACTCTGCCTTGCCCGTAGCACGTGTATTATCAAATAAATGTTTGAAAATGATTTTGAAACTGATCGAACGGTAAACATACAACTTTCGTACAAACGTTTTCAGCCAATTTACCACTGTTGCGGGTGGAATTTTCCAAACCGCTGAAACACGTATTTATTAAGTTCTTATGTAGAGCGCTGAAAATAAGTTTGAAGCAAATCAGACGAAACTTAAAACTTCAGCAAAAAGTCTAAGAATCGCACATTTTACCGAAAATGTTTTGATTTTGCGAAAAATGTGAAACATGTATAAAATTATTTTTCATATAGGACTTTGGAAATGAATTTGAGCGCGAAACGTCACCCACCAAATCTTTCACCCCCATTTCTAGCAAGGAGTAATGGATTTTTCGAAAAGTGTGATACACCCCTTAAATGAATTTGAACGAAGATCTTTGAAAATGAGTGAAGCCGATCGAATGGTAAAAAAGTTTCATACAAACGTTTTTTGCGATTTCCGAAACCCCGTCTCAAAGTGCACCTTCATCACATAAGGTAACTACGGTGAACATTTCAGCTTCCTAGATCTTACGGTTTGGGCTGTGCCTTGATCACCAATCAGTCAGTCAATAAGTCAGTCAGTCAGAGAGATTGGTCCTTCTGTTATTTTGTATCCTGGGCCAACGGTAAGTGCAAACTGATGTAGCGTATGTGCTGATGCGTCATTTATATAAGTTAACTTAATGGTTAGTTAAAACGAATAAAAAAATATAATTCGTAAGGCGATTTCGTTCATTATTGGAAATTAATTTGCAACTGATTGGACTTAAATCAAATCTTTCTCCAACAAGCTGTGACTTAGCGGCAGCGGCGTTGACAGCGTTATCGCTGGCGAAATAGTAGTAGGACCGTTCGGCAATTCTTCTTGGAATTTTGCTGATCGGGACGTGCAGGAATGGGGGCAGTCACTAAGTCAGCATTTTGCTGCACTTCTTATCAGGTGTTGCAATGCTTCCTGTTGTTCGTACTTGACACCGAATGAAATTATCCGTTGTTAACTTATAATACATTCAACACACATTGAATTCATTTTCGTTATATCTATTGTCCTATCTGAACAATATTTCTTTCCAGTTTGCTTAGCTTGTTTCACAAATCCTTATAGTGGTCCAATTGATTATTATCGAATTAAATTGTATCTAATTCGCTAAGAATTTCCGTTTGTAATGTGGTATAATTTGCCGAAATATTAAGAAACTCAGTTTTATTTAATTTTTCATCTTCCGTTGTTTTGAACTCTGATATATCACTTAATTTATATGATCCAACGGGAATTTCTATTTCATGATTAAGTTCAATAGGTGGAAAACAATTTGCAGCAATTACTATTTTATTTATTTTAATAACTATTACAATTGTTAATCATAAATATATACAATTTTACATTCAATTCTTATGATTTTATTCAAGAGTTGTGTAAAATATTTTTATTTAAATATGTCGTGGACATATAATGCTGAGTGTCACCCACGAGTGTCTAAAATGAAAATATCCACTGTGTAGACAGTGTAAAAGACTGGCCCTAGGACACTGGCCTGAGGGACACCAGTCCACAGCGAACTCCCTGATTTCCTGGAACGACGTTCGTACCCCCAAACCATCATGCTAGCCGCGGCCAAAAGCCTGTCGAGCGGCGCAGTACTTCCTCCTTTCGAGGACGTGGATTACAGCACTGTGGACTTGCTTAACCGCATTATGGTGTCCTTGGAACCCAAATTGGTGGCGCGACGTCAAAAGCGACCACATCCAGAAGAAGGGATATCCGAATCCGAAGAATTTTTAGATGAGGAATCCGAACAGTGTGGTTCGCTGCCTTTTTTTTTTGGCACTATGACGACCAGGGCTCACTTCCATGGAGCTAGAAGGCCTAGGAGCGAGTTAGCCACCTAGCCATCGGCAGCATCGAACGGCGCCTAGCACTTCGTGGCTAGTGACAAAATTAAATGACTTAAGCCATGCCTCCAAATCCTCAGCAAATTTTTCGTCAATCTTATTGTCCGAGTGGGTCCAGAATCCATCTCTACAACGCAGAGGGGATATCAGTAAAGGCTGCCACTTGAGTTCGCGAGTACAGTTGACCAAAACAGTTATATTCTATTATTAAGCAATTCAGATTTGGCTGCATATAGTATGCGCCTGTGTTCGGCTTCGACAGCCTTCCATCCGACAAGATCGAGCGGATGTCGCGTCTTCATACAGACACGCCGTAGAGAGCGCCCACCCCTTGCCGAAACTGTCACATCTTAGAGCATGACCAAGATGGCGGTTGCGTAGGTTGCACACTGGCAACAGGAGCGACGTAAGACGGATTTTGTCTACTATGCTTTGGGCAAAAGTTTCGATATCGTCAGGTGACTGTATGACAGCCTCTTGAGTTGATGCACTGGCTTCCTGATGTCTCTACAGCACGTCGATATAGCTAAGAAGCCATTCTTGGGCTGCTAGTGCGCGAGAGCAAAGAAGTAAGTGCATCTAAGTCAACGGCCGTTTGGAACGCCAAGGGCGTTATATACTACACATAGCATACATTGGCCCGTTTTTCTCCCTTGGTCTCAGAGCGAATCGCGCCACCCTATATTTAATGGGGTTGGAGACGGTTTGTTCTGCCTGTAACATATATTTGCAAAAACCATTATACAATTTATATCAATTTTCAATGAGTTGTTATTTCTAAGTTATATGCCTGAATGTATCCGTTAAACAAGCATGCAGGCACCCTTGTATACATACGTATAGTCCAAATTTTAGATTTTAAAATTTCCTCCATCTTCCAATATATGTTATAGTGGTTCGATGTTAATAAGATAGAATATCATGAAATAGAATATTCGCCGATCGGGTCCACTCGGGTGGACTCCAACCAGCGAAAGCCGATTTTTTCTTCTTTAAAATGGCTGCGTTCCAGTATATGAACAATAATTCATCAACACCGAATAATTATTTGTTCTCTGTACCAAAAAAAAAAAAAATACAAATCATATTCATATTTTTCATCTACTTTTTTTCGGCAAATTCATACAGCGGGTACTTTTCAAAACATATCAAGTGATGAATATAGGGCAAATTTCAGAAATTGCATGTGAAAAGTTGTGCACCACATTGACTATATTTGATTTGTTTGTACTCAAACCCTTTCCTATGTTAAGCGAAATGAATATGGGTGCTTGTATTAGTATATTAAAGATCATATACCTATTGAATGATTTACTTAAATGTGCATCTGCTTGCTGACTTATAGAGTTATGTGAAATTAATATTTGTATAATCACATTTGGTGCTAAACATAAATGATCCAGTATAATAGGTTTAATTTTTATATATGCACATAAATTTTTATGTATAGATTTATAGTATTAACGAATTTTTCTTCAAACGTTGACTGCATTCTGAACTGAAGTCTTGTCATCTACAATAATGTTGGCAGCTGTTGTGGTCGTGTTAGAGCTAAGCAACTGCTTGGTCGATGAACTGGATGAGTAGCTGTCACTCGAGCTGCGTGTAGAAGCCGAATTGCCGCTAATTGGACTATCGAGCATATCTGCAAAGGCAATGAATAATAAAGGCACTTTGTGATAAGTTGATTTCGGATGCAGGCTTACCCGGAAGTGAGCTGACATTATTGCTCTTTAAATCAACACCGCAACAAGGAGTGGCCTCATTGATAGGTCCAACAATGTTACCCGCCGATGTGGATTTTTTTTGTAGACTTTGACTCCCTTTTAACTTGGTGCTATAACCCACCGCAGAAGCGTTGGGAACGTTCATGTCGTGATTTAAAACAACACAACTGCAACTCAAAGGATCACCTCTTTTAGCCCGGTCGGATGGATACAATGGACTAAGTATAGTGTTTTGGGTGTCATCAGGTGTATAGTAATCAGAGTCCTCGGCACTAAAGTTGGCTACTAATAAGCATGGATCTCTCGCTGGCGCATCACAATCGGCAGGCTCGGTCCTATGCTTTAACGAGGAAATCTTTTCCGAATTGGACTCCTGCAAATCATTGTTTTCACCACTAATGCTAACGGTGACTGCTGCATCAGTAACGTGTATGTTTTTTACTATATCCTCGCCGTCGCTGTCACCGAGACTATCCACAACTAGTTTAAGCGATTTGCTTGAGGTATTTTTGATCTTCATCCCTGGTGAGAGCAGCGGTGACAATTTTTCGTTCTCGCTATCCTCATCGTCGTCTTGAACACCAGCGTTGGTTTTCTGGTAATTAAGACGCTCGTTAATAATATGCAGCTCCTGTTTTTCTAGCGAGAAATTAAGCGTAGGAGTTAACTCGGAAGTGGGTGAGGTACAGACAGCCAAGGACTTCTTGGAATTGCTTTCAATTTCCATCACTGTTAGTGTGGAACTATCCCCAGTAGTGTGTGTAAGGGTACCCACCTCATTGGTGGTTGTGCACGTAGAGGCATGCTTTTTGATCTTGGGCCGGCGTTGGCTACTTGACTTAAGTGGTGACGTAGCTTTAATATCACCACTTGTCATCGTGGAAGCGGCCATCATGATGTTCTCACTTGCGTCATGGTCGCCTTTTCTATAGGAGCATTTAAAAAAGAAACTTAGTAATAGGTTAAAGTTTATATTCGTTATTATGGAAATTGATAAATAACAATTTCACATATTGACAATTTTTTTTTTAGTTAATTCGAATACCTTTAGATTCGTTTGATAGATCTAGACTTGTTTTTGAGCTCTAACTAAATCGTGAAAAATTGTTAAAAATGTATTATAATACCATCGTGGTTTAAGCTATATAAACAGCAGCGCACCTGCACCTTTCGAATGTATTTGTATGAAGCGTTTAAGCCTATGTATGTGTAGAATTTGGCAAATAAACTTGTGAACTAAAATTGCGAAATACAAGAACTTTTTGAGAACGATGGGCGCAGTATGTGTACGACTAGAGATATCACACTGTCGCCTGCGTGAAATATCTAATCATACCAAAGAATATGAGCACTAACTCAAGTAGCGGTAGCTTAACCATCGCTGATACAGTCTGTACTCATACACTACCTATGGATAATAATTATTCTCATGGGAAGTGGCCAAAACCAATTGGATAACAAACCTGCCTACAGGAATATCAACTTGACTAAAACCCATCACTGAAAGTTGGCTTTTAATTAACATTAGACTTATTAAGCCAGTATACACACCGCGCTCTGATGATATACCCACTTTTATGCTTACCTAAGCGTAAGAGTTTTGATTTTGTTGAACTTCTCTTTTTACTGCCATTTTGTAGAAATCGTGAATTATTCCTCGCCATAAAACGGCAATAAATATAACGTCCAAAACTCTAGAGGTATATCCAGATCGTCTGCTATATCCTAAGATTGTCAGGGAACCCACACTCACAGCAATCGCTTGGCCAGATCCCTGGCTACAGCTACACCTATCCGGTGGCTCAAAAGGCCTTGGCCTTCTCCCACGAGGGAGTTCACGGCGCAGAAGGCGTCCAGGAGGTCTCCTAAGGCCGTAATTCATGGCGAACTTAACCTAGTTTTTATATATCTACTTATTCTTAATACTGTTAATTGTACAAACCTGGCGACACCTAACTTGATTCTAAGCGCATTATAGGACACTCTTGAGTTCTGATTGGCACTTGTTAAAATAAAACTATATAAAAAAGAGTCCACACAGCAAAATTTAGTCATGGGTTTCAGCATGGGTTTTTATGATCCGCCACTACAACTGATTAAAATAAGCATTATAGGGTATCTTCTCTTTCTCGTATTAAATCTTACATTCAAAACTATCAAGTAGATTGTCTTACTCTGTAGTCTTAGTCTGTATTCGTTTTTATACTTCGCCATATCACTAACCAAATAACATATAGACTGGAAAAACCGTACTTTTGTTGGTGACATTCGTTTTTTTTGCGGCTGGTCCAAACTCGCCTTCGTTTTTGTTCGGGTTCGAGACATGCCCGCATACTCTCACAGCAAGAGAGTAAGAATACATATGGCCTGTGTCGTAGAACGGCAACGCTGTCTTTTTACTCGCTCACTCTACAAGAAACTGCTTTGGCTTACTCTCATCCATATGATTTGTGCGATAGAACGGCATCGCTGTTTTTTATCTCGCTCCCACTACAGGAAACTGCTTTGGCTTACTCTCAGTGCTCTTTCAATTTGTCTATGTACCGTTTAAATGTTTGTGAGTGTATGTGCCCGCACAAGCAAAAATGCCCACAAATTCAATTTTTCTCAAAAGTCGGTGGCATTTCTTCCCTTTTGAGGGGACGAGTAATATGGAATAATGAAAGGGTTTGCCCCGTCGATGCGAAATTCTATCATTTTAGCTCGTTCTTCTTCGCAAAATTTAAAAATATCATTATTGGCTTGGATTTAGGGTTTGAATTGATGAATGAATGTTGACCCCTTATTACCTACAGCAGCCCGTTGGGCCGAAAGGGTAAACTTTTGGCCCGCACCTGCACTTGCATATGTATGTACATAGGTCAAGTGACTGATCACTTAAATAATTTTATGACCAGCGGATATTTGTGCAAAAATTAAAATCTTCAATTATGTATATACATATGTATGTATGTATATACATATTTATTGTATTATTGATTTTATTGACTTATCATATTCAAGCTATTCAATTCAAACCCTAAATCATAAAAAGAAGGGCGCGCGTCAGACGCGTGCCAATAATGATATTTTTAAATTTTGCGCCCATGATCAGCCCATTCACACACATTTGTGTCTGTGTGTGTGTGTGTGTAGAGCTCGAAATTCAGAAATCCAAAAATATTGTCAAATTCGCATCGGACAGGCAGGCAGGGACCAACAGGCCCACAGGCACACATGCGCATAAATGCTTCTATTCATATAAAAAATACGCAAGTATGCATGAATAGCAAGTCCAAAAACTTTTAAATGCACACATGCCAACGCTTAAGTACCCTTTCGAAGAAGAACGAGCTAAAATGAAAGAATTTCGCATCGACGGGGCAAACCCTTTCATTATTCCATATTACTCGTCCCCTCAAAAGGGAAGAAATGCCACCGACTTTTGAGAAAAATTGAATTTGTGGGCATTTTTGCTTGTGCGGGCACATACACACACAAACATTTAAACGGTACATAGACAAATTGAAAGAGCACTGAGAGTAAGCCAAAGCAGTTTCCTGTAGTGGGAGCGAGATAAAAAACAGCGATGCCGTTCTATCGCACAAATCATATGGATGAGAGTAAGCCAAAGCAGTTTCTTGTAGAGTGAGCGAGTAAAAAGACAGCGTTGCCGTTCCACGACACAGGCCATATGTATTCTTACTCTCTTGCTGTGAGAGTATGCGGGCATGTCTCGAACCCGAACAAAAACGAAGGCGAGTTTGGACCAGCCGCAAAAATAACGAATGTCACCAACAAAAGTACGGATTGTCCAGTCTATATGTTATTTGGTTAGTGGCCATATCGAATTGTGCACTATAAGACTGCGCCTCAGTGTGTTGGGCTGGTGGTGTGAAGTAGTATGTTTCATGGCTATTGGGCGGGAAATACACAAAAGTGCGTACCGTTTGTCTCTATATTGCTGACATTGATACTATTATTATTGCTATTATTTTAATATTATGTGTTTTCAGTGCTGGTTTTGGCGACCTTTCCATTTTTAATTATTTTATTTGTTGCCCTTATCCGACGATAGAATTTTAATATTTTTTTATTTTCTTGTAAGTTCTGTCTGTTCCGCTGTGTCTAGTATTGCTCGATCCCTAGTGTTTTGGTTATTCTTAGTTTTATGCTCTTTAACCATTAACAAACCATTCTAAAAGAATTGAATTCTTTTCACAAGCACATTAAATTTACAATTGAATTAGAAAAAGACAGAAAATTCAATTTTTAGACTCTATAGTAAGCCGACTTCACAACACACTTTCAAACGCATAGCCTCCGGACGAATACTCAACTTTAATTCAAACCACCCAAGAAGTATGATAATAAATTCAGCACTAAGATGTACGAAAAGAATGATTAACATATCGAAACACAATATAACACAAAAAACAACACAATATAACATTTCAAACCACAAAAACAGTGGACATGAAATTAAAAAAATTTTGACGAAAAATGAATTCCCACAGTATGTAATTAAAACATTATTAAAAAGACAACAAATTAGAACAGAAAAGCCAACAGAACCTACCAAAATATACAAATCCTTAATGTATTTATGTACCACGACTATCAGAAAACCTCACGAACTCAGACTGCTGCAACAAACAAGAATTAAAAGTAGCACACAAACCTACGAATACGTAACAAAAATTCGTTCACAACATAAAGGCAAAATCCCTATTACCGACAAAAGCAACGTTATTTACCAAATATTATGTGGCCGGAAAAACAACAAGTGCAATTGTGTTAACATAGGCACAACAAAATCCAGACTAAAAACAAGGACTAGTCAACATAAATCGAACTTTAAGTAAAGACATCAAAATAATATACAAACGAGAAAGAAGTGCTATCTTCGGCACACCGAAGATTTAATACCCTTGCAGACCCAACCTTTTCAAAATGCTTATAGTGCTTTGCCCGATTCTAAGAAGCACAGGGAAAATAGTTAATGCCGAGTATGGTTAAGATACCATGAAAAACAAAACAGGTTTCCGTACAACAACTTAATTTTCGACCGATCGTTCCTATGGCAGCTATATGATATAGTAGCCCGATGTGAATAAGATTTTGCATAAGTGGAGGGAGCATAGTAAAACTAATAAATGCCGAGTTTGGTCAAGATATCTTGAAAAACAAAAAAAAATTCCATACAACAGCATAATTTTCGACCGATCGTTCCTATGGCAGCTATATGATATAGTTGTCCGATCTTAATAGGATTTTGCATATATATGGGGAGCGTAGTAAAACAAATAAATACCGAGTTTGGTCAAGATATCTTGAAAACATACAAATTTTCCATACAAAAAACTTAATTTTCGACCGATCTTTCCTATGGCAGCTATATGATATAGTTGTCCGAACTTAATAGGATTTTGCATATATATGGGGAGCGTAGTTAAACTAATAAGTACCGAGTTTGGTCAAAATATCTTGAAAAACATAAAAATTTTCCATACAAAAACTTAATTTTCGACCGATTGTTCCTATGGCAGCTATATGATATAGTTGCCCGATCTGAATAGAATTTTGCATATATATGGGGAGCTTAGTAAAACTAATAAGTACCGAGTTTGGTCAAGATATCTTGAAAAACATAAAAATTTTCCATACAAAAACTTAATTTTCGACCGATCGTTCCTATGGCAGCTATATGATATAGTTGTCCGATCTTAATAGGATTTTGCATATATATGGGGAACGTAGTAAAACTAATAAATACCAAGTTTAGTAGAGATAACTTTATAAACAAAAATGTTTTTCATACAAGAACCTACTTTTCGACCGATCGTTCCTATGGCAGCTATATGATATAGTGGTCCGATCCAGCTGGTTTTGACATATGAGCTGCGTGCAACAGAAAGAGGGACTTCTGCAAAGTTTCATAAAGATA